CAGATGGACATTCGGCCTCCACTCAAGTACTCCCTCATCGCAAGAACACTTTGTTCTATTAAACTTGCATTCCATGATGCTCACCTTCCTGACACGATCACTGAAGTCAAAGCAGGTGTATAAGCAAATGTGGTGAAGAAAGCTGATGGTGCCCAGCTATCAAAAGATAAAGCATTTAGGGTCTTAAAGGCTTGAAGATAAACAAACTGCCATCTAGCAGAGAAACAACAAAGCCCACACCAGCCTGTGTGATCATGAGGTGTCCATAGGATCGGGTATCAGACATCAAAAAACAAAAAAATCATATCATTGTGAATGAGGGGGAGTGCGGAGTGGGGATCCAAAGCCCATCTGTAGGCAACTAGACATCCCATTATAGAAGGGTCGTGGGGAGGAGACAAGCCAGGCAGGGTGCAGTATAGTACTGATGAAACATATAACTTTCCTCTAGTTCTTTGATGCATCCTCCCTCTTCCCACTATCACGATCCCAATTCTACCTTACAAATGCGGCTAGACCAGAGGATGTACACTGGTACAGATAAGAGCTGAAAACACAGGAAATTCAGGATAGATAAGTCCCTCAGGAGCAACAATGATAGTGATACCAGGAGGGTAAGGGGAAGAAGGTTGGGGAGAAAGGGAGAACCGATCACCATGATCTACCTATAACCCCCTTCCAGGGAGTCAGACAACAGAAAAGTGGGTGAAGGGAGACATTGGACAGTGTAAGACATGAAAAAATAATAATAATTTATACATTTTCAAGGGTTCGTGAGGGAGGGGGGCGAGGAGGGAGGGCGAAAATGAGGAGCTGATACCAAGGGCTCAAGTAGAAAAAAAAAGGTTTTGAAAATGATGAGGGCAACAGATGTACAAATGTGCTTGACACAATGGATGTACGTATGGTGGATTGTGATAAGAGTTGCGCAAGCGCCCAATAAAATTATTTAAAAAAAAGAAGGTCCTGCTCTATTCAAAGGTAATAAGTGCATATTCTTTTAGGCAGAGGCAACAAATGGATGAACTACAAAACTAGTTTTGATGAAAGAAGATGTTTTAAGTTGAGTGTAGATGTGAAAGAGTAGGTAGCCCATGTTCTAACCCCAGCAGGTTACACTGTGTGCTGGCTTGAAAGGATTCCTTAAACTCTCTGGGTCTCAGTATTTTCTCCAGCGCACAATGGAAATAGTAGCAACAGTGCCCAACTTCTAGGGTGGTTTAGAGAATTAAATGAGCTAATATGTGTCCAGAACAGGGCCTACCTAAGCAGGCAAGGGGCGCCAAGTCCTTTTGTTCTTGTAAAATAAAGCATGAGGACACCACTGCCAATGTCAGCACATCGACTGTAGGATTCCACTTCAAACAGGCTACAGAATTGTGACTTTGAGGGAGTGGATAGTGGCGCCACCCTGAGCAGCTTCTGTGGCCCTTGCAGGGGACAGTGGCTTGACTACTCTGCCGGGAGAGCATGGCCAGCTGGGTCCCCTGGATGGCGACCAGTGGAGAGACTTTTCCTTTCCCCCTCCCTTCTGGGGAGAGGTGCAGGCTTCACCTTATGATCTCAGCTCGAGAACTTCCAGCAATCTCCTGTGTGTGAACTGAAGATTCAGACGCCTGGGATGCCAGGATGCCTTTGTGGCCCCGCATTATTCTCCTCACTCTCAGGCACCCGCCCTGTGTGCAGCTGCAAGGCACGCCTCCACGTAAGAAGAATAGGCTTTGTGGAGGTTTTAGGCAGACTTGAGTTCTATTTGCCACTCAAGGCCCCAACTTGACCTTTTAATTTGTATAGACGGTGCTTAGGTTGGATGCCTAACTGACCAGCTGTGTCTGTGATAAGTTGAGTAGACTCTGAAAGGTCCCTATGTTCACAGGCAATGGTCTTTTGCCTCGTTAATTGGGGCACCTAGGGATACACTTTGAGATAATAATTCCTTACCCAGATGGAGAGGTGCAGGAGCTTACCTATGCCCAGGCCTTGGCAGCGTCTGCTCAGCCCTCATGCCCAGCATGGTCAATGGAGAGGCTTTGGGTACAGGGCAAGTGCTCTGGCCAATCAGGTGCTCGAGATTAGTCTCACTACACACGGGCACACTATTATATCAGGTAGAAGCACCTCACTTCCGGGGCATTTCCTGGACTGGAAGGAGAACCTTTCATGATGGATGCCCTTGTGTTGATTTCTGGAAAAACATCTTTCATGCGTCATGCATCGCAGATTCCCCATCGGCAAACATTGCTAGGTGTGACTGAGTCATTTTGGATGCATGGCGATACTCTGCAGAACAGACATAAACACTGCCCAGACCCCGCCCTATCCGTTGCACAGTGGCTATGGTTGAGCCCATTTCTGAGGCCACCATTATTGGGAACACACACATTCCATGTTGTTTTTAACCTGTTCCTAATGGGCATCTCTTGATCCATGAGAGATGTTGGATAGGGCTGCGCTGTCAACTGGAAACGCTGGCTTTTCTTTTCCTGGGTTTCTGCCCTCGCGATGTAAGCCCTTGCCCCAGCTTATGTGCAGCTCTGGTTAGGCTGTGTGGACACGAGCCCTCTTGGGACTTCCCTCTGGTTGCTTCGACACTCGTGGACAAGCCAGAGATCTTGTGGGCTTCTGCTCTTCAGAGCCCAGCCTGAGCAGAGCATGCTGGGCAGGCTGTGGGAGGATCCTGAGACGCTGGGCATAGGCTGAAGTCTTGTCCTTCTGTTAACTTTGGACTGAGCCCTGTTTTATAACCTCTTGTTCCTACACTTGTTTCTGCTGTCCTAGGAAGTGGGGCAAGGAGTCAGAGACCCAGACCCATCGTTCTGAGTGTCATGGGACCTGTGACCGCTGCCCTAGCTGAACAACCCCTTAAGAACCAGGTGCAAGTGAGGTGTGTAGGGGGGCAAGTTGGATGTGGCAGGAAGCCCATGCAAGGAAAGGAAACACAAAGCAGGTACAACCTCCCATTTCCCACATCCTTACAACACCTCCTCATTCCACTCAACAGCTTCCCCCCAACTTGGGACGGCACCCAGCGAATCCAAAGCCTCCCCCACTCCCTCGGCTCATGCATGTCCTCTGTTCCCTGGGCCTTTGGCTCTCTTTTGTTCAGTGCTGCCCTCCTCACACCTGTCCCTCTTTCCTCGTGGTCTTTGCATCTTCCCACACAGCCCCCTTGCCTCCTCCCAAGGGTTCTCTCAGAATGTACCTGTAAGCTCTGCTCCGGATGCACCTCTGCTGCCCGTCTTGTCCCTGCTTTGCTCACTGACTGACTCTTCCTGCAGCTATATGGATCTGTTGAACCCTGCCCTGGGAGGGAGGAGAGAGGGAGGGAAAGGGTGAGGCATGGGCTGACCGGTGTGGGGAACCCAACAGGATGAGGGCTGCAGTATGAGGAAATGCCTGGGGGTTGCCAGATATAAGCCGAGGACCTCACATCCTTACCCATATGTTCTGAGCACTTGTCCTCCCCCAACAGCACATGGGCTGGGCTGCTTTCCTGACACGCCTGTCACTGGAGTGCCATCCACAAGAGTTGCCCTCTACTCAGATCTGTGCCTACATGATCCCTTCCAGTAGCTGGTGAGCCAGAGATCAGGATGGTTCACATTTAGTAGCAGATAGGGTCACCTGAAGCAGATATACAGGCATAGGTCAGGTTGGGGGACTGACGGGTGCTTCGGGACTCAACTTTGACCCGGTGTAGTCAAAGGAGGCAGGGACAGAATATTTGGGGTGAGAGGAGCTGCCTAGTTGAGACTAGAATAGTCTTATGAACCATCTCTGGGACCCAAAAGAGGCCAAAAAGAACTCAGAAAGGAGGGAGACGTTGCCTGGGGAGACTCTAGATCAGGAAGGCTGAGATCATGGCCCATAGGGAGAAGGGGATTAAGGCCCAAGCAGCCGCCGGCCAGGGCAGGGAACATGAATGAGGCTGACTGGTGAAGTGGAAAGGGTAACGTGGCGTAGGAGTGCCCGACAGGAGAAAGAGCAGCGTGGAAACAGTGCATGCTGATGGGCTGCACAGAACTGCCAAGGCCACTGAAGTGCTTATTGGCAGTTGCATGAAGGAAGAGAGGAGTATACCATTAATCCACTTTGTACTTGCCGGCCACTACAAACGGCCTAGTAAGAACAACAGCAAAAAGGAGATGGAATGAATGATAGAACATGGTCTGTTTGCACAAATGTTGTGGATTGAGTTATGTCTCCCCCCCGCCCCCCAAGTATGTGTGATCTCTAAGCCTGTGCTTATAATCCCATGTGGGACTGGGCTGTCCTGGTTGTTAATGAGGTAGGGTTAATCTAGAGTGCATCTTGAGTATATCTTTCTCTCTTTTGTTTACTAACAGTTTTATTGGCATATAATTGTATTTCATAAATCTATAGTTCAATCACATCAAGAAAAGTTGTGCAGTTATTACCCACAACCAGTTCTAGAACCTGTTCTTCATTCTTGTACTCATCATTAATAGCTACCCATTCCTCCACTCCACCTCCAACTTCCCCTACTAGATCCTCAAGAAACCATTAATCTGTTACTGTCTCTACAGATTTACTTCTCTTGGATTTCATAACAGAAACATTAAACAAACAAATAGATAACTAACAACAATAACAAAGCGAAACATATAAAACCTCAATTGAACAGAAAGCTGAAAATCTTTTTTAAAAAGAATAAATTTAAATGGATCATAAGGAAGATCAAATGCTAGGGTACTAAATTTTAACCTACCTGCATGGGCAACAATCCTTACTGTCGTGCATCCTGCATGACAGCAAGGCTCTTCACATCCCTGGTCCATGGTCAGAGGGGTTGAGTGAATCTCTGTGGAGATATAAAAGATTAAACACAAGCTAGCAAGCTAATGGGGGAAGAATGGCGCCAGGCTACATGAAGATTGACCAGGTCCAGAAGCTCAGGGACAAGAAACTCCCCCCAGAGCCCACCGAGAGAGAAAGCTTTTCCCTAGAGCTGGCACTTTGAATTGAGATTTGTAGCATCCTAAACTGTGAATAAATACCTGTTCGTTAAGGCACATACGTGGGCTGTAACTATTATAGCAGTACTAGCTGACGAAAACAGCCAGTGGACCCATAGCAGTTTGATCTGTTTTTAAGAGCAGATTGAAAGAAGCATTAAACACTTTAGAATGGTTTCAGGGGAGATGGGAGTAAAGAGTAAATAGATAAACAAGTAATAAATTAGAAAGACAAGAGAGGGGTTTGCGTGGGTCAGTGATAATGTCCCTGCTTGGAAGTGTTCGTTGGTTTAGCACCAAAAAGATCGGATATCTCTGGGGAAGGGGATCCTCTTTACATGCTAAAGTAGTGATTGATGCAAAGGCTAACGGATCTATTCCCCGGTTGGTCTGAATAATGGAAAGTTGGGAATTACCAGTCACAAGCACCAACTCCGTGAAGGCACACTCTGCCATTGAGAAATAGAACCCGCTTCTGCTCAACAGATTTCATGACATCAATGGAATGTGGACAGATTGGGAGAACACAGGGCCATGGAAGTGAAAGAAACTAAGGTCTCAAACTTCACACAAGGAACTCCTGCAAACCAGCCTATGAGAGGCAAGAATCTTCATGACAACAAGGGCACCAAATCTCAGAGGCAACTTGCAGAGGAGAAAACCAAAGGATGGAGGGGCATATGAAAGGATGCTCAAACTTTGTGATCAGAAAAATGCAAACCATTCCACAAGAATGTCTCATGGTACACTTGTTCTGGCATACCTGAGAAAACTGGAGCAGCTCCTCAGGAGAAAGATGGGCCTTTCTATTCCCGTGAACACCGACAGTCTCCGAAAACCACAGGGGGTTGCCATGAATCAGCATTGACTCCATGGCCATGAGTTTTGGTTTTGGTTTTGGGTATTGCCAGGGGTTGGCAGGTATGTATGTAGGGGAACAGGAAACTGTTGCTCAGCTTGCTGGGAAGTGCTGTGGATGGTGCTACTATTCGGCAGTGCCACCTGGCAGCATTGGGCAGGTGAATCACTGTATCTATCTCCTGTAGTACTCAGCAATCCTGATGCTTGTTAGAGCTCCCAAAGATAACCTCACGTGAGCTCCCAGCTGTGATAGGCACACAGGATGTGCACTAGTGGGTCTTCAGAACAGAATATATTAGAGAGTGAGTTGCATGCTCCTACAAACTAAAACAGCACAAGACAAAAAATACAAAACAATATTAAAGCCATACAAGAATTAAAAAAAAATCCAAATTAATCTGCAACTGAGTTGATTCCCAGTGTTATAGTGACCCTATAGGACAGGGAAGGACTGTCCCTGTGGGTTTCTTTACAGGAGGAGAAATCCCCTCCTTTCTTCTGTGGATCAGCTGGTAGGTTCGAACTGCTGCCCTTTGGCACCCTAGACTACTAGGTCTCCAATACAAGAATACTGTTTCACTCCTTGCTATAGAGTCAATGCTGACTCCTAGTGACCCCCTGTGAGTTTCTGAGACTGGACATGTTTATGGGAATGGAAAGTCCTGCCTTTCTCCCATACAGCTGCTGATGGTTTTGAACTGCCGACCATGTGGATCACAGCCTGACACCTAACCACTACACCACCAGAGCTCCATAATACAAGGAGAAGCACACCTAAAAGGAGAGAAGCACATTAGAATGGTTGTCTGGGGGTGATGAGAAGCCTTGGGTGGTGCACAGAGTGAGAATCTTCTGATATTAACCCACAGGCTGATGCTCCAGCTCACCCAGAGGCACTTCAGGAGAAAGAGCTGGCTATCTATTTGTGAGAAACCAGTCATTGAAAACCCTCGTGGGTGCCCACAAGTAGGCGTGGACAAACTGGGAATCGATTCTGTTGTGTTACAGACAAAAGAAAGACCTTGATGGGGCCCTGGATGATGGAATACGGGCACGGAGGTGCAGATGGGCCGTACCTCTGATGCTCAGAGAGCTCATCATCACCGAGTCAATTTCTTCTCGATGTGAACCTAGCACATGGACACCCACGAATAACTCAAAGAGGAGTCCACGAAGGAAGTCGAAGTGGCTGACAGTTCTCCTACCCAGCACAGAGGGGCTATTCCAACAGGTTCAAAGCTGGGCGGGTAAGGGTGGGGGTGTACATGCAGGTGGTTGGGTGTGGGAGGTGAGTGGGGTGTCTGC